CAGCAGCCAGTGCTAGTGACTGCTCATGTCACCCTAGGATCAGCTGCACCCACTGCTGCAGAAAGTCACGGAATCCAGGACTTCCATAAAAGATTCACAGTCTTAACACAGGTTACGTGAGGCCAAATAAACAAAATCACGGCGATAATAAAGATAAAAAACATATCTAAAAGGTTAATCTAGCAAGGTAGAGGCTGGGTTTTCCTCACCCACACTCTTCCAGTAAGATGGCAGTTCCCCCACCCTTGTTAGGATCTCCTTCAGAAGCCCCAAGTGCTGGTTCTACCGGTTTCTTATGTGAAAGAGAACTTTGGATTTTCTGTCCCTTTCTTTTATAAACCAGAAAACTACTGAAATAGATTCTTCTGATGCTTACCACTCAAAAGTAGTTAATTCAAGCTGTGAGGAAGGTGACCTGAAGTCTGGTGGTGAAGGAAGTGCCACACTTTCTTCCACTACTGGAATTTGTTAAACACCACATTTTTCTGTTTCCTGAAATCTCTTCCCCTCCTGTCCATTGTTAGTTTGATGGCTCTACTTATTGCTCATATGTAAATTAAGGTAAACCTATATTCTTTTTAGGATAGATTTGTTTAACAAATCTCCTGATATGCCTGATTTAAACACTTTAGTCAATTACAGCATATACCCATAATTTTTAATAGACATCACGTACATACATCATGCAAGAATATTAATTACCAGTGAGTTATTAGTTTATCAAACCACCTTTGTACAAAATATTCTTTGTGATGTATTACAATAGCATGTAGGGTGTTGGCACAGCCATGCTTATGGTTACACATCCCTCCTCATTTCAGACACCCAGAGTTACAGAGCAAGCAATATTGGCAGGGAGATATCTTTAACTAGACCATCTTGTTTGTGGAAAAGACACAATCTCATGTGCAGAAACCGATAGCCAGTTGACCTACTACTTTCCATAAGTTACTATATCTAGATCAGTTTTACATCCGGGAAGGCGATAGATGGTATGCTAAGAAACACTTGCATCAGGCAGTGGTGATCCATTGCTCTAAGCCTACGCTAAGTCAGATTCAGAAGCAAGTATACTATAAGCTAGTGATACCAACACCTTCTTCCTGCACATTCTGAGTGTCAAATATACCAATTTAGAATCTTAAGAGCCAAATTCTGTGCTGTTACACAGGTGTAAGACCTTTAACTGGAAATATTAAGGGTTTACACTAGTACAGCTCAAAGCAGAATTCATCCCTTCAATTCACTCCCAATTCACCAATAACATTTACACATCCCCTGAATTTGGTCCACTGCATTTTTAAATCTTGACACATACAAACAACCGTCCCCTTCCCTCCCTTTCCTCCCGTCAAAGTCAATAGAAAAAAAATCATTGACTTCAGTAGAGCCAGGATTTCAACCAGTGGGTCAAGGAACTGGAAGACAAGGATGTAGCAGGAAAAGTATATAATAGAGGGATGTTAAGAAGTATGCAAGTTAAAATAGACCATGCCCCATGTTAACTTATAATTTAGTATTCCTGCTTGGAAAATACTTTGTGCTACAGATGAAATTATACCACAGCACAGGTAATTTGCACTGTGATTCACAGACTTGCTTCTGAATTTGCCTCATCATATAAGTGACAATCTGTAACACTTGCTTTTGTTGAAAGGACAGGACAGTTAAAAGTCAAGTTGTTGGCTTTATTGACAGTTACTAATATTAATGAGGTTTTTTTCCTATAGAAAGCTTAGGCAAAACATTTACAGTTAGGAACCAGTCATTCCTAATTCTTAGTCACAAAGCTCACTCATACATTTCCAGTTTCTAATAATCCTTTCAGGATGAAGAGTAGTATTTTTTCCCTTCCCAGTAATTTTTCCTTGACATCACTTCATACCCTTCCTTTTGCTGCCTGCCAGGAAAGCGTGGTTTTTGTTTTGTTTTTGAGAGAGATTTTTGTTTTGTTTTTGGAAGCACAAGTAACAGGTTGTACTGTTTTTTCCAAGAAGGGACTATTTATAATTTGAAATGTTTCTTCACAGAGTTGGTGCACCACCATATTTTGATGTGATCAGTATACATGATGCAACACAACTGTATTGAAAGAATGACTATAGTTAGTATGTGCGCTTTGGGATGGGTTTGTAGCTAAGAAAGTCGCAAGAAAGTAACACTGCATTAAAAAACACCACAGTAAATACTTCAGTGCTGGTAGTTTTTTGTCTCTGACAGCCTGCTATAAGGTTGGGTCCGGATATCATTCATCATCTGTGGATGAAGTTTTCATCTAGTTTGCTAGACTCTTGACCCATATAATAAACCAACATTTCACTGAACAAGGTTGGGCAGTCTTTGCTCAAGAGAATACCAAGAGTGGGATAACAGTTAGCATCCAAATCAGGCTGGAACTGTATTAACAAAGCCATTGGAAAGCTTCCATGATGTCTGGTCCTTAACTACTACTAGATTCAGGAACACAAAAAATATGCCCATAAGATTAAATTGAAAAAAGCCAAAGATCAACTGTTTGAAAAACAGTCCCTCTAAGGTTTAGTTCTGGGTCCCTGAAAGTTCAGAGTTCAGGCCACAAGGATAAAGCATTCCATCAGCATTGCACAGAGAAAATGACACCCAGTGCCAAAGGGTTCCTTCACAGCAGCATCAAGCATACTTTATTGTTTAATATAAATCACTGCAAATGAGCAATCATTAGTCAGCCACATTTTTTTATATAATTACTGGCACTGAAAAAGAAACCATACAGGTTGTTGTGAACTTACATCTATTTCTACCCAAACACAACATAAGCTGTTTGCATAATTTTCGGGGTAGGTTGGTGGGTGTGTATGGGAGGGGGGGAGGGATGAGAAGAGTTCCCATCCCTTCCCCCAAATCACTTTTTTCTGTGAGAGATCACAATCTGCTTTTTCCTATAAAGCACATTTATTGTAGGAGTTTGATTTGAAAGAGTTTCAAGTAATTTAAACTCTGGCTGCAGCTACACAAATCATTTGAAAGCTAATTTCTCCAAGAGTTTCCTCATATTAATGACACTGTAGGTTGGCACTATGAAGATCAATTTGTATTTCTCAAACAACCACCAACCAGCATATTAGATGTGTGCCAGAAAATAATCTAGAATGAATGAGTGTGGTACAGAAGTTAGCCAACACTCTATTAATGATTGTAACATGCACAAAGGGGTAGATTTTTACTGAATGTACAAGTGTTACTCTCAGTGTGAATTCTGGTTAACTATGACTATGTTAGCAGACATGCTCAGAACAGAATGCATCCTGTTCTCTCCCCCGCACCCTTCAGTGAGGTATTCTTTACATAAAGGCTAAGATTCCAACACCCTTACTCACCTAGGCTGAAATACATCTTCCACTGAGATCAACTGAAGCTTTTGTCGAGTAGTACTTTACTTCACATGAAGAAGGGTATTAGACTCAAGCCCAAAACTAAGACAGTCCTCTCCTCAATCATGGCTTTAGGTCCTCTGGAACAGAATTTAGGGGTAACATGACATACGAGTTTGCACTGCATTTCCTCAGGACTTGAGGAGCATTCATCCTCCAAAGAAATTTTAGGTTAAATTCCCATTTCACCAGACACACACAATTCTCATTAACAAAGGCTATTTAGGTGCACTAAGAGGAAACTGATTTATCCTGACATCCTAACAGGCCTTGAGGAAATGAATTTCATTCACAGCAGTCACAGTGCAACAGTTAGGAATGAAGATTTCAGGTCTTTCCTATAAGCTATTTGAGGCCTGTCTTTACAGGTTTAAAGGAACACTTAGCAGCAGTTTGGATTTTTTTTACGTTAACTGGTAAGAAATGGGCAAGATTGCTGTAGCACTGTGGAGTATTTAAAAAAAATCCTTCATGACTGTGGTTTAGTTAAATATGCACAATTTTATTTATTGAAGAGATTAGGACAAAAACATTAAACCAAATACATGACAAAAGCACCAGAGGCAATAAAACCCCACCATGCACATCACCAATCTTTCCTCTAAACAAGGTACTTATCAAAAAAAAAAAAAAAAAAAAAAAAAAAAAAAAGTCCTTCTTGACACAGCACCATCTTCAGAGTGTAGAAATATTACTCCTTTTGTATTCTTAGTTACCAAAATAGAACCAAGGCAGGTCAGCTGCAGCTAGCTTCATCTTTTGATAAAGGACCGTGAAACATCCTCAAGAGTGGGGCCGTAACTTCCCTGCAGGGCAGGCAAATAGCATCCATACGTCAATGCCAAGTAGCGGTACGCACATGCCACATACTATAATTGAGCACAAATTCAAGTAACATTTACATACTACAGAGTCCACATGTACCTACCCAAAAAACATGATCACTTCACAAAACATATACAGGCAGTAATATCAGAACAACTGAGGTACTGGAAACACAAATATTTATGCCAAGAGATTTCAATATCATACAGCAATAGAAAAGCAGTAATTAAAAACATTTGCCAGTCTAAGTCAAACAAAGCTATCTAGAAAAAAAAAGCTAAATAAAAAGTTATTCAGGGGCAGAAATTCCTGAACAGAAATGTGTTAACTACAGCATGTAACATGTCATCCCAAGTCAACCCGTAATTGAAGTACTGGCTTAATACATCACTACTGTGACATTTTCTTCAATAAATAGAGTAAGTCTTGACAATAAAAAAGGTGCATATTACTGCGTATGTTTTGGGAGAAGTATCCTTATTATAATAATGTTCAGCTTATTAATACCCTTTTATTTCTTATTCAGGGCATAACAAAAAAACCAAAAACCAAAGAAACAGTTGCCTTCCCAAGGTGAGAGGAATTCAAAAGATAAATGTTAATATTTTTCTTCAATAATAAAGAGCCCTCTATTTACATCTGGGCTAGTCAGTTATACAGAAGGTTGGTTCTGAAATCAAAAACTGATGCAAGGGCTTTCTGCCCTCTATAGTCACATACGTGCAGCATGGCAAACATGGCAGCCAGTATTTCAAACCCTTTTAAAAAATAATATAGGTTTCTTTTCTTCTTTTACTATTATAGCAGTAATGCATCTGGAAGTTTGAATTATAATAGCTTCCCGCAACAAACCATTTGACACAAAACAGAACAGCTTGTTATATGACAGTTACTTCCCCTTAAGGGAACAAAGCATTAAAATGTCATTTCCTGACAAGAATATTAAGTAGTTTATTTAGAAGAAATATGAATTGAAAATAGCTATCAAGAGACATGAACTGAACTTGTTTGTTTTTTAGCACCCACTTTTCATGTCCATCTATGTGCATCTAATTTTCTTCTCAAATGAATCCCCATTAACCATCAGACATCAGATTTAAAAAAACAAAACAAAACTAAAAAACACACTAGCCAATTGTACTTTCCCTGAATAATGACTGAAGTTAAATATTTAACAGTGCGATGCCAAGATGCGTGTTGAGGCAAAAAGTTTCTCTACTTGTGAAACTATTTTAATGAAACAGAAGCAGGAGTGATACAGCTGCACCAGAATTGGCATTTGCAGTCTCCTTGGCTCCAAAAGGTAAGAAGCTACAATTGTTCCATGTTGCCGTCTCCTCCCCGCCAAATCAATCTAACCTGATAGCAAGGCTCCCTCCCCCCCAAATCTGTCCCCATGCTACATTTGTTATATTAGCTCCTGGCGGAGATTCCTTCTCAAACTAAGGAACTCCAAGTGTCTTTTGCTACCAAGCTAGGCTGATGCAGGATGTGATTTCACACTGTCAGGAAGGACTCCTTCATGTAGCCATTTCTAGGACATTGTACCTTCTGAACACCAGTCTTTGTGCTCAGTTAAAGAATGGGTCCAAATCTTCTTCCATGTTGACATCAGGCACCAGCTGATCCGATACTTCCTTAGCACCGTACCCCGAATTAGATACATTAAAATCTGTAGAAAACCAGGGATGGTCCAGAATTTCCTGTGAAGTCAGCCGTTCCGAAGGCTCCCGGCGCAGTATGCTACGTATAAGGCATTTTGCCTTGGGGGATAGAGTCTCTGGAATGTTAAACTGCCCACGACGGATCTTGCTGAAGAGAGAACTAGGCTCAATATCATGGAAAGGATAGCGTCCAACTAACATTGTGTAAAGCATGACACCTAGACTCCATACATCTGCTGCCTTGCCAGAGTAGCTGCCATTTGTGTTCAAGATCTCTGGACTCACATAGGCCGGGCATCCATGCTTATCAGAAAGAGAGTCATCATTCCCTCGTAAAATATAAGCATCTTCTAGACTTTCCAATTTTACTCTGGTCCTGTAGAGCAAGAAAAGAGAGGCAACCATTAAACCCAGAGATGAATTTCAGACCATTGCAATTACATGGTTTTGATAATACATTAAAAAAAAAATCAATAATTGTAAAAAGGTGCATCGGTTTCGAATTGCCATTCCCAGGCAAAGGCTCCCTTTATTTATAGTAACATGTGCATTGTCTCTTCCCTCCCACTCAGACATTTGATCTTATTAAGAGAATAAATATAACCCCAATCATACACGCCTACACTTTTTGGTAACAAGACTTCAGTTAACTACTTAGAGCTAGCATGAGAAGTCATCCCAGAGCTCTTGCTAAAGATGTATGTCAGAGTTTTTTGTTGCCAAATTCACTAAGATTGTAACAAATGAGGAACAAAAAAACCAGGAGTGTGGTTGTGTTTTAGCTTATTCTTATGGCATTGATTCTTCCCCTTTCATTATGAAAGTTAGTCCCCCCCCCCCCACCACAAAGAGAAATTATCCAGTTCACTGAAAGTCAAGAAAGTCTCCAGTTTACGAAAACTAGAGAATTCTTTATTATAAATAGACTTCACTTTTCAGATGAAGCATTTAAAAAGTCTGTATTTGATTAAGGGAAGTTTGAAATGACGTACAAAAGGGGCTATAGCTGAGAATCAAGGAGCAACTGGTACAGTAATAATCTACTTGCAGGAGAACATAGCCTTTTCCATACCGAGACCACAGAGACACATACTAGCTAAGGGCTAGAATACGACTCCCTTAGTCACATGGGTGAGCAGTCCCACTGAAGTCAACTGGAGTAACGAGGTTACAATCTAGTACTAAAATATCTTTACTTTTTAATCCCAACACACAATACATGAAGAATAGATCTAAATCTTCCCAAATGTTCCTTTAAATGATATCACATCAGGTAGGTGGGTCACAATGATAGTTTAACCAATTAAAACAAGACTATTCTGCTTTGAGGACTCAAGCAAAATAAAACAAGAGAGTTCTTTGGGGTGGACAGGTTAACGGAAAATGATTTTTAGCACGACCCTACAAATGGCATATCTAGATTGGAAGCTCTTCATGTTTGCAGTGTGCATACACTTGTTAGTGCGATACAAGTGTAAACTCTGCGGTAGCAAATTCTCTTGTTTTATCTCCAAGTAAAAAATGATTCCAAGCTTCTTTGTTACATTACTATGTTAACACAGTCTAACTATATGTATCTATACAGCATATCTATACAGCATTAAAAGTTGAGATTCTGTGAAGCAGCCTCTGTGCATGCGAGATCCTGGGCTATCGACTAATCGAGTAGTTGATAGAATTTTTATCGACTCCTCAATTTGTTAAATACCCACCACTTAACATCACTAATCCTATCCTCATTTCATCATTGCTTTATGTGCTATTCCCCTATATAATCCCCAGGACCAGAACTGGCCCTATAGAAGACAGTAATCCAAAATCATTAGAAAGCACTTTGTTCATTAAGACTTAGGATACAACATGGGAGTCTTATTATATATATAGTAGCCCAATGTCTGTGACTCTGTAAAGTTACAGTCTTGCTTCTGGGGGGGGCGCTGTTGCCTCCCGCTGTGGTGCTCGGCTGACTTCTGTGCCGCTCAGCCGGGCCGCCGCGGGGAGCAAGCGGCACAAGCGGCCGTTTGGGCTCCCCTAAGGCAGCCCCCATGCTGCATGGGGAGCATGGAGCCCAAACAGCCATTTGGGCTCTGTGGTCCCCTGAGTGAGAGGCAGGAGGGGGAGGAGACGAGAAAGAGAGTGAGAGGCAGGAGGGGGAGGAGATGAGAAAGAGAGTGAGAGGCAGGAGGGGGAGGAGAGACCTGAAAATCCCATTTTATGACGGGCTATTGGCTATTTTCTTAAATGTTTACTGAAGAGAACTTTGCTTGCCTTTATTACTGAAGCCCAAGCAAGACCCATATTGGCATTAGAATTGGACACAAGACAGTTCAATGTTATACGAGTAAAACTAACCAGGGCATTCTGCTGTTAAGTGTTATTTAGCAGACTGCTCTATTAGCTCTCCAATAAACACTCAGGGTTTTTTTCAGCATCTAAAGACATTTACTGGTTGATATGAAAGTTTTTCGCAACATGCTTTAGATAAGAAAGTCATAAAATCCCTAATTCAGAATCCCTGGCTCCCAAATCTAGCACATAAAAAGACAGCTCATTTATGATTGTATAGGCCAATGTCTTCTCCCTTAGTTCATAGTGATGGGATGTGTGTCACCCATCAGCTTCCTGATTAACTACCCATTGTTGGATTATAGACACCTATGGTGATGGACAGGCAATCAACATTTCACACTTCAAACAATAACCTACTCACACAGGAAAAAAGTTACAAGTTCATAGTCAATTTCCTTCTGTACGAAGAGTTCAGAAGCTCTTTCTGTATGGAAAGGATGAAGAGGGAAACTGCCTAAGGATGCTGGTAGGATGCCCCCTGAAATCCTAAACATACACTTGTTCCTTTATCTAAACAGGGAAGTAGAAAAGGAAAGAAGAGGAGTGAGCAGAGAGAAAAGGACAAAGGAGAAGACAGAAAAGCAGAGTACAAAGTCAACTAAATCAGACACACAAGTGTTGGTCCCAAATACTGAAGCCCATCACATTTTTCACTAACATGGAGAGCAGGGACAATGTTACTCCTGGGGGAATTCTGCATTTGGAGACACAGTAAAATTCACCCAGGACTGGCACGTGCACATCTGAAAGTCACTAAACTGCCAAACAGCTATGCCATCAGTTTACCATTGTTAACAGTAAGCCTACCCCCAGTTAAAAAGTGAAAGACAGACTAGCAAGTGTTTGAGAGCTTTTTAAATTATAAAAATCGATCCAAGCTTTTATGTTCTTGTGACTAAGTGCTGCAGTACAAAACTGTGTAAACCAGAAAGACTTCCTCTTCCTTGAAAAATATGTGATTCCTAAGGAATCTAATAAGAGGCTTCCTTTGTTATAAATGCAGGCAATGTACATAAACACTTGACATGGAAAACCTTATTATGACTTTGAGCTTTATGCAAGGTGCCCTGCACTACAGGATCAAGTTCTATATGCATGCTATTGCAGGTTTTGTTTAAATCAGTAAACTGAATAGCAGCTGGCCATTATCTGCTTGCTCCATCGTAATCTAGGACTGAATGAAGTAAACAGCCATGTTTTCATCGGTCTGAATAGAGTGGCCTTGAAGAAACACAAATAGATGATCCCCAATCTTTTTAGAATGTTTGTAATATAGATGTGGAGTATATATGATCACTAAACATGCAAGCTAGAATGTTTGCATTTCACTTTGCATAAAAATAGTAGCTTGCTTTTTTTAAGATATACACACCAGATTACTCACATACCATGAACTGGTTGGACATTTTACTTAGCTAGGTTGCTTTTGTAAAATGTCACTAAGACCAGCATAAATTTACAACTGAAATTTTTTACCTATTGGTGTAGAACATTAAAGACATGGGGAAACCAATCCCATGATAAAGCTATCTACATTCAGACTTAGAACATACGCAATATTTCCAAAAGCTGTACATGCTAAGACACACAGTCAGTAAATTCAGTGGAGAAAAGAGAGAAACCCAACCTCCCTGGTAAATTAATGCAATAGAGGAAAAATATTCTAGCCTACATTTTCAAACTTAAGCAAGGTATTTTGGATGCCTCAGTTTTGCTCTAACTTAAAAGGATCTTAAAGGGATCATATTTATAGAAGGATGAGTACTCGCCCTTTTAAGGTGTGCCACATTGGCAATTTTGGGGTGTCCAGTCATCCCTGAAAATGCAGGTTTCTGCATAAAGGCTGGGAAAGTCATCAAGTTTCAGAGTAAACAGACAAGCCTAAATTTGATTCTTAGCAGTCAAGAGACACTCTCAAAGCAAGTATTTTAAAATGTATTCATGATGAGTTTGGAAGCTCCTCACATTGTGCTGTTACCAGTACCAATTGGAATAAAAGAAAATTAAAACATTAATTTTGCAGTTAAAATCTTCCCTTTCTACCAACCTACTAATGGCAGCAGTACAAGCAGTATTTAAATATTACTGTAGGACTGCTGATGTAAAAATTAATCCCTAAAGTTCAGATGAACACAGACAGTTAAAGCCGGATGAGAGTCACTTTATATACATACTGTAGTGCAACAAAGACATTTGTGAAGGCTTGCATAATTACAGTACATAATTTCATGTTTTAATGCTGTGCACTTGGAAAGAGAGCATTATGCATCTATCAGATCATTGATAAAACACTGCATTAGCCTAATGCATTAAAAAAATACAACCCTGAATCAAGGCTATTTAAAAAGGGGAAGCTATTCTGCCTATGAATGCTTTCCCATTACTGGTGAATGAAACCACAGAAGTGCAATCAGAGGGCAGCAGTGGTACTCAGACGGGAAATGCGTCTCTGTCCCCATAGAAACCGTCAGGGAAACCCATGAAAAACAATACCACTCTGAGTTTCTTATCAATATGCCATTCATTACTTGACTGCATTCAGACTTTGGTCTTCAGTAACGTAACAAAATCTGATCAATTAAATCTCTTCTAGAAGATTCTTCAATGTAACCTCCAGAGTTGGCATCAGTTCCTGGCAGACAGCTTTGTTATCATACAGCCTACACTTTTTACAGTGATTCACATTATTCCTCCCTGCAGAGTTTGGGGATTACTGACAAATTACTACACTGTCTTTTAACACAGAAGCAAGGGCCACAAAAACTCTGCAGTCACACTCCAGCTTCACTCCTGTTCTCCAAAAAGCAAACAGAATTGCCTGAGACTCAGTGGAATTATTCAGAGGCCTCAAAACTCATTCTTACCACTAAGAGAAAAAACTGAACATTCCAGACACATTGTGAATGAAAGCATCAGGATTTCTGAGGTGCCCAGTAGTTAAGAAGGCCATGCTTGAACTGATAGGGCGATTAGTTCAGCAGCTGTTTCTTATATTTCTCCAATACAGTGCACACTGAAAATGACTTC